TTTATGGATCTGTTTATATATGTAGAAATATTTCCCAAGCATGTTTTCCTTGAGGAGGAGCTGGGAGGCTAAATCCATCCAGGAGAGCAAGAGGAGGAGGTAGGGCCAGATATGGTCCGGGAAAGGATCACAGACCTTCTCAGAAGGTTCCATGGAGGAAGCCAACCCCTCCCTGTGTCTTCAAGGCTTGCAGCGAGTCCCATTTCACAAGACTCTGCCAAAGTGTCTGGGTGCGAGACCAGAGGCTGTGCTCTCATTTTCAGCCTGATTTTCCAGGAACACCTGAAAAAATAATCATAAATTTCTCCAGAGACCACTCAGTGCAGGAATCTTTAGCTCCAGACCTCACACACCAAAGGATGCTACCACCACGAGTCTCTTGAAATCCTCATCAGCACATACTACCTACAATTTTAAGTTGAGAAACTTCTTGATCTCAGGGGCAGAATGGGGCAAAAAGCTGGTTTTTCAGATCACCAAGATAACCGACTGTCCACATATCGCCACCAATATTTTGCTTTGCAAAGTCTTGGGCTCTTGGAGCTGGGTGATTATGCAAGAATTTCAGCTTTTAGGAGTTTCCAGATTCCTCTCATGTTATTTACGGCACTTATAGGTGCTTTGCAGTCTGCTCATGCTTTCAGTTCCCCTCTGCCTCGATGCACATTTCCACAGCAAACGAATTTCAAGAGGAAAAACACCACTACCCCCAACTCTGTCCAAATCCGGAGGACACCGATAAATGGCTGCTGGCCCATAAGAATTCAAAGTATTTTTAGAGATGAGCAGAAATGCAGCCTCTTAACGTCGCTGGTGCAGGTGGCTTTGCTGGAAAGGGCTAGACCTGAAAATCAGGACACGAAGGTTTCAAGCCCGGCTTTCTCACTCTGTGATCTCATACAGGGCTTTTCCCTCACCAGCCCCTTGCTTTCCCTGATACACATTATTAGCCACATGCGCCGACGTAATGATTTTGATGCAAATTAATTATTAAGGATGCTGGCGCTTCCATTGCAGACCAGCCCCAAAGCATTTGTATCCACTTGTACGCCTTAGAGACCATCAAGCAATTTCTCAGCCAAGAGCAGAGAAATGCTGTCATTAAGCATTAAAGCCATTCGACATTTAAATAGCATCATCCCTGTTGGCAGGCAAACAGGCTGAAAGGTCACCGTGCCCGCCGAGACCAGCGCAGCAGCCACCAAGTGCTGGAGGAGCAGCTTCAGGACCTTTAGGACAAGGGGCAACGGGTGCAAGCTGGAGCACAGGAGGTTCTACAAAAATATTAGGAAAAATTTCTTTGTTGTGTGGGTGCCGGAGCCCTGGCCCAGGCTGCGGAGTCTCCTTCCTTGGAGACATTCAAACCCCACTGGGATGCGTTCCGGTAGGACCTGCCCTGGATGACCCTGCTCTGGCAGGGGGTTGGACTAGATGATCTCTAGAGGTCCCTTTCAATCCCCAGCATTCTGTGAGTCTGTGATTCTGTGATTCTGTGATTCTCTGACCAGCTTCTCAAGCCAAAGCGGTGGGACGGCAACAAGGGATGCGGAGACATCCTCAAAGCCCGGCTCAGCCTCCCAGTTTTTGCTCTCGTTACTAGGGGAAGCGAAAGCCTCGTTGCTCCAGGGCAGGAGAAGCTGGAAACACCACCAGCCTCAGGCCGGGAGAGTAATCCCTTGACTTCAAAGAGAGCACAAGGAGATGCTGGGTTAGATAAGACAAATCCTGGAAAGCCTGGGCTGAGACACCTGCGCAGAGATTCACGTTGGGCTAGAGAGCGGGGAGGCTTTGCACTAGTCCCACCGCTTTCCTTTGCACCACCGTAAGAAGCAGCCCCAGGAGCTGAGGAAGAAGGGAAAATTTGCTACTTCTTACTCTACTTTTCATTTTTGGTGGATAGTACTTTTTTCCCCCTATCAATGGCTTACTGCAAACTCCCAAAGCTATAAACCATCAAGAAACACCTTTTCTCTTAAAAAAAAAACCTAAATCAAACTGTCCTCTCGCCATCTAATCCCAACTAACCCCATATTCCGGCAGAAGTAGTTGCCTCCTGTTACTACTATTATTCCTGCTCATATTATTGAGCCAGTTCTAAGGTCCTCGGTTGAGATACAGAGCCAGGTGAGGGGAAAAGTTAAAAATAGGCTGGTCTGGGTCTCAGCAGCATTTATAATTTGAATTTGGCCACCTGCAATGCCATCTGCCAGGCTTTGAGGTCCAGCACTGGCCTGAGCTCATCAGAAATCTGGGCTGCCGCGGAAATGACAAATTAATAGCAGCCCCATGCGGGCTCCGAAAATGAAATCAGCAAACTGGGGATGACAGGGAATGGCACATGTATCCAGTTAATAACACACACGCCTCCACGGGTGAGGCAGAGTCTTGGGAGGGCTCCGGGCGAGGATGAGGCACCAGTTGCCTTCCTCCTACCTGGGCACCCTGCACCCCAACGCAGCGGTGGGCTCAGGTCCCAATCCCCCTCCAGCACATCGTCCCCAAGCTGTGTGGCCCCCGAGACCGAGTTGTAGATGTGTGTGATTTTTGATTGTGGTGTTTGCCAACACCAGTGAGGAGGAGGAGGAGGAGGGAGACAACTAAACCTGTCCTTACAAAAAGCCTCCTTGTCTTCTTTCCTCCAAAAGCCTAGGGGTGAAACAAGGCGTGCGTGACCCTACCACGTAGGTGTCCGTCTGTCAGCAGGTGCCTGTGCAATGCATTCTCAACGTCTTGCCCAATTCAATTAAATTTGAGACATCAAAGGCACTTTCAGTTCATACAAGCTCCTTGGAGGGCAACACGGCTGGGGAGAGG